GGTGTCTTTGGCCTCGGACGGCTCTTGAGTTGCTCACGCAGCACAGTTCTCCTGGTGCTGGAGTCTGAAGAAGACTGCTCCGTGCAGGTTGTGCTTGAGAGTTGGAACAGGATAGAAGGTGGACGCAGGCCCTTCTGAATGAGGATGCCTCTGCCCTCGGAGTTGGGTTGCCTTATGTGCAAAATTATACCTGGCTGCCTCGTCCGTTGAGGGGCGTCCCAGCGAAGCAGTGGGGAAGTTCTCTCCATGGAGAACAGAATCCTTGACTAGTTGCAGAAACGATTTCTGCTTCCCGCTCTCCCCCAGCTGCCCCTGCTGAGTGTGCAAGGCCCCTGCTGTCAGTGCAAAGCAGTGCATTCCACACAGAGGCTTGGCTTTCTAAAAGGTTAGTGAAATAATGGATTGTCTTAACGAACTGAACTTGTTTTTCTTAAATGCTCTTTTGGTATTTTCTACCTCTTTAATAGGCACCATATTTTAGGTCTTGTATAGAGAGTTTGACCATCTGCCTTAGAGACAAATGTAGAGAATTGATGGCCTTCCTTTATGTTTGGAGACGGAGCTTGGTTGCCCCCTGACCCTTTCCGGCGCTTCCTTCTGGCACTTGCCTGAGTTTTGCAGCACCTCAAACAGTAGGGATGAAAACCCCTGACGGGCAACGCCGTCTTTTTCCGTGTGTTACTTCAAATGGTAACACTGTGTTGTGTGCAATCACTGAATTGTGCTCCCAGATCGACTTCACATGACATTGGAAACCAAAACCTCACGTGTAAGCCTTCCGCTCTGAGTCAATACCAATCCTGTGGAATATAAAGAAGGATGTGCTGAGAGGATTTCTCCAGGAAAATGCATTGTTCAGATACTGAAAGAATCTCAAAAACAAGAATCTCAGACCATGTGTGGTGCTGTGAATGAAAAGTAGAATGCAGAGCAGGAAAAAAAATGCATGGTTTTCAATGTCAGCTCCAAATAAGCAGGTGGACGGCACCACAGACCCCAGTGGAGAGCTGTTTACAGCGGATCAGGAGGCTGTTAGGGTCTGCAGGTGACTGCAGTTCAATGCATTAAATGACTGACTACATACCGGACTCACTTACTCCGTTTTATCTAGACATCAAGGGGAACACCACGTGCATCTGATTCCCTTTCCTCGCAGTTGAGGGGCCCAGTCTCCTTCTTTGTCATAGTCTTTGTTCTCTTCAAAGCATCCTTCTGAATTCTGCTCACAGATAGGAGGAAGCAGGCTGTCGATTTCAGGGTATTCAAGGGGAAAATAAATCTAGTTCTCACAACGTGAGGGTCAGTGTAAGATCTGAGTATTATTGACTGTTACACAGGCTTCCTCCAGAGGCTGGCTCAGAAATGCAAACCCCAACCAAGGTGAAAGCCAGGTCCTGAGGATCGCTGTGTTCAGAGGGTTTGGGGCCTCTCTGACTGTCCCCAGGGTGGTGTGTCAGTTGCTCGAGAGCTTTATTTTGAAACCAGATAACTGAGCCAACTAGCACCTCGGCCGTCATTCTCCTGAAGCTGGGAGTAGGGTTAGGAAGGAGAATAGGAGGCAGATCTGAACCTACCAGTCAGTGCAGCGTTTATAAAGGGCTTTTCTGACACGTAAACAGCTTGCCGGTATATCTGCTGGTATGTTCCGGAAACTACCTTGAGGGGGAAGTGGCACCCCCTCCTTCTGTACTTATTCACAGTAACACGTTCCCACCTACTTTATATTGCAAGAACGTTTTCTATTTTTACAGTAAAGAAAACAGAAACATGGCACTTGGGAAGAGGGAGGTAGAATTTCACTTTCTGGACTGTTAAGTCTCCCAATTAAAGCCATTCCCTGCACTATTTGAGATACCTGTTCTGAGGTCCGTGTTACTCCTAATTATTTCTCCCCGAAGTAGTGGTGGGGTCCATAGATATTCCGGGAGAAGGTGTTTTTACATTCGCAGTATGGCACTTTGGATGTTCCTGTTCTGCTGACGGCTCTCCGGACTGCAGGAAAGCCATTTAGAGACAAGCAACCGTCTCCAGGGTAGCGAGGGGGGCCGATCAGGTCCCTCCCCAGCCCCAAAGGAACCGACCTATTGCCAACGGGCTGATTCCAGCTCGTGGTCGCTTGATGTGGGGGCTTCACAGAGTTTACACTGGCTGATTCTTTTCTTCAAGTTATCTCCAGGACAGTGGTTCTCAACCTGTGGGTCGCGACCCCTTGGGAGGGGGTCGAACAACCCTTTCACAGGGTCACCCGATTCATCGCAGTAGCAAAATGACAGTGATGAAGTAGCAACGAAAATAATTTTATGATTGGGGGGTCACCACAACATGAGGCACTGTATTAAAGGGTTGCGGCATGAGGAAGGTTGAGAACCACTGTTCTAGAAGGACCTGAAAACCCTAAGCTATCCATTAGAAGCAAGTAGGTTAACCATTTTTACCACCCAGAGACTCCAAAGTACGATGAGGCTGTGCATTTTCCTGAGTTCACGGGGTGCTGAAGCCTCACTGCATTCTCCCCACGCAGCTCATCCCCCCAGAAACTAGGCTGGTCCTGGTACTAACGAAACATGGTGTTCATTTTTGGGCAATAGCACTCAGAATGTCTGACAGCCCCACTGTTTTCATGTGCTTCCTGTAGGACTCTCTAGGGGAGTGTGTGTGTGTGTGTCCTTTTTTTAAAAAAATGTTTACTTCATTTGGACTGCAGCTTTCCTCATAGTCTGCTTTGAATTACTTCCAGTAAATCATTTGCTTGGGCTTCAAGCATTACCCTTCATCTGCATTTTGCAGGTTGATGAGTGCTCTTGCGCTGCTAGGATGGCAAGCCTGAAAGAAAGATGACCGACCTTAGCTTCTCGGAGCCCTGCTGTAGGCCTGCTGTAGGCCTGCTGTAGCCCTGCTGTAGGCCTGCTGTAGGCCTGCTGTAGCCCTGCTGTAGCCCTGCTGTAGGCCTGCTGCACACACTCTGCCTATGTTCTGCCTTTCCACTATTACAGAATTCATCACACTTTTTAGTCACATGTAGGAGCAATAAGAACTTGGTCTTAGGATCTTAGAAAGTATAGTTGCGATGTAGCGATGGAATTTATTTTGAGGTCTTTAATTTTGATATTAACATTCCCATAAATCTATTTTTGCTACAAGAAGATGGCTATTTTCGTGTGCTTGGTTTTCCTCGGCGTGGTGTTCATCTGCCCCATGGGGTTGGTATCTGTTTGTCTGCCCTGGAAAGATCAATCACATCTGCAAATGATGGGAGTGTGGAAGGCAGACCGTTCTCACAGACTTTGGTTTGGGGAAACGCAATGATCAGCAGTTGCTAATTGATCTTACTTCTCGTTTACCCTCAGAGGCTCCTGTCTTTTTTACTGGATATTTGTAAACCTTCCATTTCATTGTCGGTAAAATTACTCTGTTTAAACCCCACTTCGGCACCTGTACCTCCCCACACACAAAAAAATCTGACTAATTTGTTTTCCCCCTCATGTAGCTAGTTGACGATGAATAAATAACATGGAAAAAGGGCACCAGTGTCTTTGTCTCTAGCTTATTGGGCATGTGTGTCTGCGAAAAGAAGACAGAGCCGGGAGGCTTGTGCCTCTCCCATTCAAGGGAGAATGAACCAGGCCGCTGGAAGTGATGGGGCTCGAAGATAAGATGTTCTGGGACGTAAGCAACATGGAAGCAATGGGGCTATCCTATTTTTGTTGCCAATTTTTCCAAAGCACACCGCAAAGGTAGATCTACTCAAAATGGGGCCTGCGGGTGGTGGAGCTCAGGGCTGGTCCACTCCTCCTTTGTCGACCTCTGCCCAGAGAGGTTCTTTCCCTCTGTGGGCTCTAACATCAAGAGGGGAACTCTGGCTGCCCACCCCCCCCTAACCCCCCGTGCATCGGCACGTATCCCACCATCACACAGGGTGGCTGTGAACGTATCCCACCATCACACAGGGTGGCTGTGAGTCAGAGCCTGCTCGGTGACACACAACCACCTGAGAGACTGACTCAGCTCCTCCCATGCCTCGGACACTTTTACCCTTCACCTGAGTTCCATTTCATCACGATAAATAGAGACAAGATTGGAGTTGTCAAGGGTTTTTCCTTGCTTGATTCCACAGTCAACGCTCACAGAAGCAGCAGTCATAAGATCCAACAACACATTGTATCAGGCACATGTGCTGCGTAAAACCTCTTTACGATGTTAAAGGCGAGGAGGTTACTTTGAGGACAAGGTGTACCTCAGATGCATATGAAATTTGGACAACCGAAGGACGGATGCATTTGAATTATGGTGCTGGCAAGGAATATGGAAAGTGCCGAGAACTACCAAAAGAGCAAACACATCTGTCTTGGGAAAAGTACAGCCAAAGTGCTCCTTCGGAGCAAGACTGGCAGGACTTCACCTCTCGGACGTGTGGTCAGGAGAGAGCAGTCCCTGGAGGAGGCTTGATAAGGGGAGGGGCAGTGAACAAGAGGAAGGCCTGACACGTGACTGTAACGATGGGCTCCGCCTCACAGCAGCGAGGATGGGGCAGGACCAGGCAGCGTTTCGGTGGATGGTGCAG